GCAGATGACATAAAAATCTGGAAAGTTATCCAGAATGCTGCCGATGAGACCAACTTCCAAGAAAATCTTTGTCGGTTGGACGAGTGGTCCCGCAGATGGCTCTTGTCCTTCAATTTGAACAAATGCACCATTATGCGCCTCGAAAATCAGAGCCCTAGTACGCGGCAATACCATCTGAACGGAATGCCACTCCGAGAAGCAGAAACTCAGAAAGATCTCGGAGTTTGGGTTGCAGACGGCCTAAAGCCTTCTACACAATGCTGTAAGGCGGCCAAGGCCGCAACTTCAATGCTATATGCCATCAAGCGGGCATTCGTAGTTTTCGATGAAGACTGCTTCACCAAAGTCTTCGGCACGTTTATAAGGCCCCATCTCGAATATGCAATTCAGGCCTGGAGACCGTGGACGCATCAGGATTACGATCTGCTCGAAAGGGTTCAGAGACGAGCAACAAAATTAATAAGACGTCAAAGTGCACTGTCATAGGAGATCCGCTTAACTAAACTTAATCTCTATCCTCTGAGTTATAGGCAGTTGCGCGGAGACATGATACAAACTTTCCGTATCGTGCGCGGCTTGGATTGTGCCCTTCGGTGCGATGACTTTTTCCAACTCGCCACCACAACTCACCTCCGGGGACATCCCTTCAAGCTACGTGTGCCACAGGGTAGACTGAATGTGAGAAAATATTTCTTCTCCAACCGTGTCGTGGAACCGTGGAATAACCTGCCCGAGACGGTTGTTATGTCTCAATCTGTGGAGACATTTAAATGTCGCCTTGACAGATATATGCTGCAGCAACAAGCGGACTATGTGACTTTTTAACCATGTGACTAGTGACATATGTGAACCAATGTATGCATTCACTTAATGCTGTAATTTCTTCACATTTTTGCTTGTTTATCGATTTTTTATGTACAAATAGGGAGTTCAAAGGCGTAAGCCTATTTCCCTCAAATACACTGACTGACTGACTGAAGTCCGATTCGAGCCCGGAATGTCCGTTGACATCGAGGACACGTTGGAAGCGGTTGTGCGGCGGCGTTGCTTACTGGGCGAAGTTGTGATTTGCGGGCTTCACGTTTCGCTTTGGCGGCAGCGATGCGGTTGGCTTCGTAGATCGCAGCGCCTGTCTTCACTGTCCTCCTCCAGGTCGGTCGATCGAGTGCGAGCTCCTCCCAGTTGGTGGGGTTGATTTGCAGGCATTTCAGGGAGGACTTCAGGGTATCCTTCTAACAGCGAATCTGGCCTCCTTGACGGCGAGAACCCGTCGCGACGTCTCCGTAGAAGAGTCGTTTGGGTAGTCGCTCGTCGTCCATGCGCACCAGGTGGCCGCTCCAGCGCAGCTGAATTTGCCTCAGTATGGCGTAGATGCTGAGGATTCCCGTCCCTTCCAGCACATCAATGTCGGGGATTCGATCCTGCCACTTCAGCCTCAGGATGCGACGAAGACAACTGAGGTGGAAGTGGTTCAGACGACGTGCCTGCTTTGCGTACACCGTCCAAGTCTCCGTTCCATACAGTAGTGTCGGCAGGATGACGGCCTTGTACATCTTCAGCTTCGTGTTCAGCTGAAGACCGTGGCGATTCCAAACTGTGCTTTGGAGGCGACCGAAAGCTTGACTGGCTTTCGAGATCCTGTTGGCGACTTCGTCGTCGATCTTGGTGTTGCGGGAGGGAGTACTGCCCAGGTACGGGAAGTTCTCCACCACCTACAGTTGGGTTCCGTTCACGCTGATTTGCGGCGGCGCGTTGGAGGCTGTGGCTGAGTTGGGTGGCGGTTGGTGCATCACCACCGTCTTCTGCGTGTTAATGACCAGACCGAAGTTCTCGCAAGCGGCGGAGAACAGGTCCATGCTCCATTGCATCCCCTCTTCCGAGGTGGTGTTCAGGGCGCAGTCGTCGGCGAAGAGGAGTTCGCGAACGGTGGTTGTGGATACGCGCGATTGGAAGTTCATCCGCCGTTGATTCAGCAGGTGACCGTCCGTCCTGTAGGCGATGCGGATCCCGGGGCGTTCGTCGCGGTAGGCGTCCATCAGCATGGCAGAGAACATAAGAATGAAGAGGGTAGGCGCCAGTACACAGCCCTGCTTAACTCCATTGGTCACTGCGAATGCCTCTGAGACAGCTCCGTTGTCCATGACTCGCGCCATCATACCGTCGTGGAGCTGACGCACCATCTGAATGAATCGCTCCGGACAGCCGAATTTCTGCATGATCTTCCACAGTCCTTCACGATTCACCGTGTCGAAGGCTTTCGTCAGGTCCACGAAGGTAGAGTACAGGTGGGTCCGCATTTCCTGACACTTCTCCTGAAGTTGACGGGCGGCGAAGATCATATCCGTGGTCCCACGATGACGACGGAAGTCGCATTGGCTTTCCGACAGAAGGCCTTGTTCCAGATGGTTATTGAGGCGGCTGAGAAGGATGCGAGCGAAGATCTTCCCGGCGATGTTCAGCAGGGAGATGCCGCGGTGGTTGTCGCAGACTTGGCGATTCCCTTTGCGCTTGTAGAGATGCACGATGGTTGCGTCTTTGAAATCTTGCGGGACTGCACCTTGATGCCACATCTCTTGGAAGAGCGCAGTCAGGTGATCCATCAGTAGGGGACCTCCGTGCTTGTAGACCTCAGCAGGGATCGCGTATGATCCGGGTGCTTTCCCGCTGGACAGCTGCTGCACGGCCCTGATGGTCTCCTGGAGAGATGGCGGAAGGTCGAGGTCCACGTTGGTCTCTACTTGCGGCAAACGCTCGATGGCGGCGTCGGAGATGACGGAGGGGCGGTTGAGGACGCCTCGGAAATGCTCGGCCCATAGCTGCAGGATTTGCGCCTTCTCAGTCAGGAGAGTGTTGCCGTGGGCTCTGAGGAGAGGAGAAGTGCCCCTCGTCGGCGGACCGTAGACAGCTTCGATCGCAGAGAGGAAGTTCTTCCATTCGTTGCGGTCCGCGTAGCCTTTGATTTCCTCGGCATTGCGAGCAGTCCAGGCGTCCGGCATCTCGCGCAGTCATGGCTGAAGTTGGCGGCGACTGCGGTAGAAGGCAGCTTTGGTGGCATCAGTGGGGTGATCTGCGTAGACTTTGTATAGGCGGTTTTTCTCAGCTAGCAGATTTCTGATGGCGGCGTCGTCGGCGGCAGCGATAGGAAGGTTGTCTAGCCTTTGAGCTAGCTCATTGCTGAAATGAAGATGATGAGCGGGCAAAGATAACAAGGCAGCAATCAGCTTACCTGGGGGTCGCTTACCTTGTGGTCTCCTACGAGGCTGTAGGCGAATACGCATCTTCGAGATGACGAGGCGATGATCGGTCCACCCGTCAGCACCCGCGATCGCCTTCGTCACCAGCACGTCCCGCAGATCTCGCCTCCGGACGAGGACATAGTCCAGCAGGTGCCACTGGAGCGACCGTGGATACCTCCAGGTGGCCTTCTCTCGCTGCGGCAGACAGAAGAAGGTGTTCGTCAGGATGAGGCGGTGTTCTGCACAGGTGCGGAGAAGCAGTAGACCATTGTCGTTTGAGCCGCGGAGACCGTGGGGACCCAGCACTCCTTTCCAGGCAGTATGGTCTGTGCCGACGCGGACGCTGAAGTCACCGAGGACAACCAACTTGTCCGCCTTCGACACAGTCGCCAAGAGGGCGTGCAGGTCCTCATAGAATTTGTCCCTGACGGCGTCGGGGTTGGTCATCGTCGGAGCGTAGGCGCTGATGATGGTGGCGAATTTGCCTCCCCAGAGAGGCAGGCAGAGGCTCATCAGGCGATCGTTGATGCCCTGCGGCAAACAGGGCAGTCGTCCCACGATGTCGTTCCGAATGGCGAAGGCGACACCCGCGTCCCGTCGCTCTGCCCTGGGTCGACCGCTCCAGAAGAAGGTGTAGCCGACACCCACCTCCTCCAGTTGGCCTTGTTCGGAGAAACGGGTCTCGCTGAGTGCGGCGATGTCCACCTTGTAGCGCGCCAGTTCTCGTGCCACTAGCGCCGTCCTCCGTTCCGGTCAGTTGCTCTTCGGATTGTCTAAAAGAGAACGAACATGCCAGGCTGCCAGAGTGAGCGGGCTCACCCTGCCAGTCTGGTGACAACGAGCGGGGCGACGGGAAGGAGATGGAGAAGAAGGTGACGAAGGAGAAGAATAAGCAGAAGAATAGGCAGAGGAAGAGGAAGAAGAGGTAGGATGAGGAGAATGAGTATGGTTGTTGTTGTTGTTGTTGTTGTTATTGGTATTGTTATTGTTTCGATTTTGATTGTTTCGACCATGATAAGACGTCTGCGGCCCTGGCTTGCCTTGAGGAGGCGTGGTACCCAGCAATGTTTAGGCCACCTTTTCTAGGCCCTTCCCCTCGTGGGGGCTGGCAGTGCCATCCCTGAATAGTGCTGCCATGTGCCGTTGTGGCACGGCCGAACTCCACAATGGGACCACGACTTTGGGTTGTAGTGGAGAGCGACTCGAATTCGCCGTAAGCCGCGGTCTCCGACGGCGTAGGTGGGCGCGTCAAGGCGATGTCGATGTGGAGATCCATCCCGTCACCGGCTGTCCAGCGACGTGCAGAGACGAACCACGTCACGACGGTGCCGACGCAAGGTTCCATCCGACCTTCCATCCAGCGGAATCCGCAAACCCTGTGCACACGGCACAGCGCACAGGGCCCCCATTGGGGTCCCATTGGGGTCCATGATGGTACTGAAAACGTATATACAGTCCTTTTTGATCCCAACAGAGCATTTGACAGAATATACCAGCGACTGATCAAGCTCTCGTCTACGATTTGCCCAGAATGTAAACCAAAACCTTCCTAGCAAGCTAAATTATTCGAAGGGATATCACATACTTAAAGCATCCAAGAGTTTCAATTCATATCGAAATTTCACACTGCTTGATTCTAAGTTAATTATCGCTTTTATCCTCAGTATGCTGGTTGTCAGAACCAGTAAGGATGCCTATGTCCAGATTTCGCATATCATCAATATACTGGTCAACAAAATAACATGCTTCCATTCAGGATGGCACCATTGAATTTAGTGCTTGTATCAGTTAAGGTGATCCCGCGATAAATATCCAGAATGCTATTGGGCCACACTCCTGCTTACCTTTTATACCACGTTCATCTACTCATAAAAACCGCTTAGAGCATGCTGTGGCAGTCGTATATCAGGCTCTTCTACCAATCTAGATATAGTATCCTCTGAGATATGCCAGAAAACCGCTTCATAGCAATGTAGATTGTTCGCGTTTTCGGACGCACTTGAAAATTCCCACCGAATAGAATTTACAAATCCGACATACAATCTTTGCCAGACCTATTCTGGATGGCGTTTATGGGGCTGGATTTGTTATTTCCTCCTTGACCTGGAAATCTTGGGAAAAGTCCAATATGAAACAGCAGGAGTTATTAGCGCACCAAGTCCCCTGTCGACTGCACAATTTCTCCGAAGGATCATTTTCTCAGATTGGAAAAGTTTAGAGATCCGGGAAGATTATCAGAAGAAGAAAATTGGCTCTCCGGAACAGGTTTATTTAACTGCTGACGTTTCAAAGAGCTGGATCGGCTCTTCATTGTCAAAGCGTAAACTGCACCTAATCGATCAGAAAGTTAACTTAAAGGGGCAAGCTGTGTTGGCCGGCCTCATGCTGATCGATTTTTCTCTCTCCTCACGCTGCGTCGGCCTCTCTGTACTCTCCTGAGAGGCCAACGCAGCGTGAAAAGAGAGAAAAATCGATCAGCATGAGGCCGGCCAACACAGCTTGCCCCTTTAAGTTAACTTTCTGATCGATTAGGTGCAGTTTAGGCTTTGACAATGAAGAGCCGATCCAGCTCTTTGAAACGTCAGCAGTTAAATAAACCTGTTCCGGAGAGCCAATTTTCTTCTTCTGAGGATCATTTTCTGCACTATCCAGAACGGGTCTCTTTCATACTAATCTAATGAAAACAAGCAAAAAATCTTGAGGTCGGCAACTTCGACCTGGTTTCATTCTTCCGGTCAAGACACTTCCGCATACGTCAAGGACATCCTTTTCATTCAACAAAATTAAACTGATAAAATATCAGACAGAATCCTTAAAAATGACAAGCCATCGGCTTTTGTAACACACCACTCTAGGGTGTAGTTTTGCCTCTGCGGAATGGCGCGGTGTTGCTCTGGAACCAGCCAGTGGTCATGATGGCGGCGGCAACGTAGTATTGGCAGACTTAAGCAAAATCAAACTAAATCCTTCTACACCAATGCTCAGAGTCTGTTTTCCAAGCTCGACGAACCGAGAACGCAGGTAGTCAATACGTCTCCGAACATTATATCAATAACGGAAACGTGGCCGTCACAAAACATAGGCGATTGCAAGGTGGCACTATCAGGATACCAATTGTTTACGAGAGACAGGAGACAACGTCAGGGCAGAGGATTTGCTATGTATGCAAAGAGCAACTTAACAATGTTTGAGAGGGTCGACAAGATTGTCAACGTCACAGAAACCATTTGACTGACAATAAAGGCACGGGGACCGCAGTCCCTCGAATTCGTAACTTCTACATACCACCAGGGACGGACACGACGCAGATACTTGTCAGTTGGAAAGCATAAAAGAGATCGACAGTCGACCGGACGTCCTACTCATTGGGGACTATAATTCATCCTGCATTCCATGGAGCGATATGCACGCGACATGTCTGAAGTATACCTTCGATTACCGTCTCCCAAAGACAGTGTTAGAAATTATTTTCATTCAGCGCGCCCCACTTCCATGTAGATCGCGTGGAAGGCATTAGGCTACTTGATTGGATCTCGTCTTTATCAACGATCCTAACAGTATGGACGAGGTGTACTACCTGCCTCCGCTCGGTCGAAGTAATCATGAAGTACTTCTATGAGATTACGAACTATATTTGGCACTGGATGCAAGAACTGAGAATGGGCCATATATATGGTAGGCGGACTTTTGCCAAATGAGAGCTGAAGCATCACAAATAGACTGGGATGTCCTCTTCTCCGGGAACGTGGACGAGAGCTGGAATATACTCAATGGTCAGGTATTGCATCTAATGAAAAGCCACTGCTCCTTATCAAAGCCTAAGGCAGCCAACCGTCCTCAGTGGCTAACGCGAGATCTCAAAAAGGAGATCAACAAGAATGGAAGACTGTGGAAAAAGTTTCGCGAAAACAATAACAATGCGGAATTTGTAGAATATCAAGTCAAAGAAATGAAGCAAAAACATAATTTTCAAAAGACAACGAGATTTCGAGAGTCATTTGGCCCACCGAACCGTTAAAAAACCAAAATTTCTCCACAGCTATTTGCGAAAAAGCACCCATAACAGGAATCCAATCCCTGTCATGAGGAATGATAACGGTTTACAGATATCAAACTGCAAAAACAAAGCTAAGCTTTTTTCTCTGTTCTTTCAATCTGTTTTCCCAAAAGAAGCAGTTCCCATACCGCCTACTGCTGTGAGCAGGGGAGATCCAATTATTAAAAATATTGTACTCTGAGAAGAAGCGATTTTGGATAAACTCGAAAGACTGAAGGAAAGTAAATTTCCCGGCCCGGTCGAGATCCCGCATAATTGCTCGCTGAGCTTTCCCGCGAGTTGGCCAAAACACTCCCCATTCTGTGCCAGACATCGTTTAATGCTGGAATCCTTCCCACAGACTGGAATTCGGTCCACATTACGTCGCTTTACGAAAGCGGTAGTTATGCTCCTGCGACGAACTACAGACTCGTCAGTCTGGCATCTGTCTGCCGCAAAGTCATGGAGAAGATCATAAAAAGGAAGTTTATGGCTTATTTGGCTTACCTTTTGTCCAGTGCACAACAAGGCTTTCATACGGGAAGATCGTTTTTACAAAGTTGAACAAAAGCATTCGATGAAAAACACGCTGTGCATGTAGCCTACATTGATTTCCGGAAGGCGTTCGACAGTGTTCCGCACCAGCGTCTCCTTTACAAGTTGAATGATGGACATTGCCCGCAGACATCCTATATGGATCAAGAAGTTCTTCTTCGGCCGCTCCTAAATTTTCTGCTTAGGTAAACAGCAATCAAGACACATAGTCATAGAGAGTAGAGCCCCACAAGGCTTAGTGCTCCGACCGACTCTCTTTATCTTGTTTATTAATGATTGTGTAGAGGAGTTGGACTGTGATTTTGCCATGTTCGCAGGTGATATTAAAATCTGGAGAGTCATCCGAGATGCTGTGGCCGAGATCAACATTAACGAAAATCTTTGTCGGCCGAACGAGTGGTCCCTCAGATGGTTCCTATCCTTCAATTTGAACAAATGCACAATACTGCGTCTCGGGAATCGAAATCGGGTTCATAATATGCGTTAATATTATTTAACCGGTATGTCGTTCCTAGAAATATAAATTCAGAAAGATCTCGGAATCTGGATTTTATACACTCTAAACCCGTCTACGCAATATCGTAAGGCAGCTAAAGCCGCAACTTAAGTGCTGTTTGCCATTAGACGGACATTCACAGTTTTCCATGAAGACTGCCTCTCCAAAGTCTTTAGCATGTTTGTAAGGCACCAGCTTGAATATCCAATCCAAGCTTGGAGACGATGGAAGCAGCAGGATTGCAGTTTACTCGAAATGGTGCAGATGCGAACCACAAAATTAGTTAGAGATCAAAGTACACTGCCTTAGGAGACCCGACTGAATAACGTTAATGTATATCCTCTGAGTTTATGGCAGTTGCATGGCGACTTGATATAAACTTTCCTTATCGTGCGTGGATTGGACTGATCCCTCCGGTATGACAACTTTTTTTCAACTCGTCACTACAAATGACCTCCGGTGACGTCCCGTCAAACTACGTTTTTCCTAAGGAATATTCGGTGCAAGAAAGTTTTCTTCTCCAACCGTGTCGTGGATCCGTGGAATGACCTGCCTGATGAGACAGTAATGTCCCAGTCAGTGGAGACAATTAAATATAAGCTTGACAGACATATGTTAATTAACAAGCAGACTATGAAACTCTGTTACCATACAAAACCAGGGCCTTATGTGATTCGATACACATCGATTGATTCGATGTCTGCATTCACTTATTGCTGAAATTTCTTCATGATGTTGCTAATTTTTTAGACTTTTATGTCCAACCAGGGAGCTCGTGGGTGTAAGCCCACTTCTCTCAAATATACTGAATATTGAATACTAAACGCGTTTACCTAAAGGTAAACAAAAAAGTAAAAAGAATCGAACATTGTACTGCTTTTTGTATTTCATTAACTTCTATATGAACTATGAGTTTACGGAATGCATTAATCGTCACCCCTTTCTAATCTCTTCGTAGTCGTTCGTAACTTCGACTTTCTCCGGCAGTGACTGTCACGACTGATAACCTATATCTCTCCTATGTGTTTAGCATTCTTCCATACCTTATCCCATTAAATGTTGTTGCATGCTTGGATGTAATTTCCACAGAACAACCCCGAGATAAATCTCTACGAAACACCAGAATTCTTGATTTTGATTCCAATAGGCGCACACTTCACCCAAAAAGTTCCCAGAATATTCAATTACATATCTAAAACGAGAGCCTCGCTTATTAAATACGAAAACCTGAAAATGGTTTCAAACGTGTCCAGTCCCCTGCTCGTTCAGTGCATTGCAAGTCAAGAATGGACAAATTTCGGTTAACCGATCTAGCTGGTAAAAACGTTCCTGGTCGACGTAGAATACAGTAATTGTTCTGGCTGCACTACCTGAAACTTACCAGGCGTATGTAATGAAGTTCCATCGGGTTAGTTTTGATGTAATTGTATGAAAGTCCTGAATAACACGACGTGTGAGCCAACATGAGTCAGGAGAACTGGAGTTGGCAGTCATATGCTATCGTCATATTTGAAACAATGTAAATATTGCATAAGTGTTATATGATTTAATCACCAGACAACGAAACGTGTACAAATTTCACCTAGGTAATTAGTGGAACAGTGGTGAAAGTCCGAGTGTTCAGGCTGAGTTGTATACTGCTGATGAACAGCCGGAGCATATGAGGGACGTGTAAATTTTTGAGGCCATCGTGGCAGTTGCCGCAAGAATTCAACGGGGGATAACGGAAATAATCGGAACGAATAAAATTATGGAGACTGGAGCATTCAAATGCTATCGAAATTTAAGTGATAAAAGGATTCCGCCCACCTTGGCATTTTATTGTCGGGCCTAGCTGTTGAGGAGAAATGAGCCATTGGATCTACAAAGAAAGGACAAACTACAAACTCAAAACAGTTTTATGGCATAAACGAAATTGTGCGATTCCAAAAAACCTTCACAGTCATTATTATTTCCGTCCTACAGGATGTACATAAGAGTAATATTCATTGCGAATACAATACTCAAGAGTAAAGTTCCGTAAGTCAAACGCTGTCACTCTTTCAAATGAAATCCGAAAGGTTAGCATCAATGACACAATGGGTCGTTGTGTTGTGTTATCACGTTATTTTATCATCTTTTCAAAGTAAAATTCGAATAGGTTGGGTGAGTAGTCTATCGCTATTTTCGCATTATTTTTCTCCGACATTTTAACCGATTTATCCTCTCTTTCATGATTACTCGCCTCTCCATAAGGAACCAAAACAGTTTAAAGCTCAATATAGCATTTTCCCCTATTATTCCTGACCCTCACGTTACGTTCTGACAACTTTGTTGACGTTATAATTGTTTGAAGTGACGTATAAATGTCTGGGCGGCTTGGCCGAAACCTATATTTATTTTACTCCCGGTAGTGATGGAGAATGTGTTCCTATCATTTGCTGGGAATCATTCCTTTGTTGAGAATGGAGGATTTCCTGGTGAGCTCTTTAGAAGGCTGTTAATTTTTGTGGACGCAATTCCGAGTGGTTTTATGATACGATTATCTGTTGAGTGGAATTTGTCTTACATACTGTGTTTTATAAGACGCGCTTGGAATTACTTTTTGGATGATCTATCTTCCGTTTTTATTCCGGACATTTACTTGCAAATTTTGACGTGTTAGGTTCCTGATTAGGTGCTAGCCGCCTTTGGCGAATATATGCCACATATCTACAAAGTCTGTGCCTGTAGTTATGTTCTTATTTTGCTGAAGTTATTTTTGACTCTCCCCTCAACCTTGTTCTCGCTATTTCAGATACTTAGCGCCAAACCGTTTTCCACTATGTGGCTAGCCTCTGAGCTTTACCTCACGCAGAATCCATGTTCATTTGTTACTTCACTCTATTTGCATTGGAAGTCGTCGAGTAATTTAAGAGAAAAGTTTTAGTAATTCCCCTCTCCTACTTTTTGGGAGATAAGAATTTTTCTAGTATGCATGTTTCGCCCTCCTGAATCCATAGTCAAGATCTGCAAACCTGTGAAGCAGCTTCACGCTGTTTATCATTCTGTTTTTTATGTATTTAATAGCTTCCATGAAATAGCTAGTTGCAAGTCTCCCACAACATGTACTGAAGGATAAAGCTTTGATCATTTTCTCAAACTTCGATTTAAAATAGGACGTATTTTTAGGTTACACTGTAATTTATTCCTGTCGGAATAGAACGCTTCCAGTCTGTCCATCTGTACAGCCATTATTTGGGAAGCGCAATCGCTCCTGATGAGTAGTCTTTTAACAACTGCCAGTATCTTTTCGCCTTCCCTTAGAACATTAGACTAATATTTGGGTAGTCGTGACGTAGCAGTTCCGATCTTTAATGCAGGCGTATGGTTAGTTATCTGTTTGTCTGACGGGGCATAATTTATGCGAGTAGCTCCGTCATGTTGCCACATCCGCGTCTGTCTAACGACGTCAGGTAACAACCCACGCACGACACCCATAACTATAACTTCGTCCCCCTCTAGGGTTGTTCAACATCTAAAGTCGATATAGAAGTTCCAAGTAATCAGCAACTTACTCTGTTTGGCAAATCCCTCCGTCAGACCGTCGGACGCCCTCACAGCTTCCGAATGTGTTCGGCCGCGCTGGATGCACAGCGTTAAATCGATGTTGTGCGCACGTCGTGGAGGTCTTTGGAGCCATTCTGGAGAACGCACTGATGAGTACTGACAAGAATTAGCCCAATCACATAACCGTCCATGGACAATCAAAAATAGGAGCTAGCAGAGAAAACAAAGCTGCATGCTCGTGAGCACTGACTGAGACACCACGTTATTTGGTTCAGTTTGACGCGAGTAATTCACGTGCGTTATGGACAGATCTTAAAACTCGTATCTGTACCGGTTCATATTCATTTTATTGTGCCCTTCAAGACTGATGATTTATTAGAATCTCTGGTAGTCTGCTTCTCTACTTATATATGCACAGCCCTGTTTTATAGTAAGTTCGGGCGGTCGTTGTGATCACTTATTTTAAATGCTGCTGGTCACTAACTGGGAATATTTAATGGGGAAAAAACGGAACCTATGCGCTGTCAAACTCGTCGAAATTTTTTTTCGGTCCATGTTTAACTATCCAACTGCGAAAACGATGTGACGCTGCCCATCCGATAGCACGATATGGAGTCGTGTCTTGTAACATCTGCACAGATATATGATGCAGGCGAGTTCTGCCCTCCTGTTGTGGTATTTTCATATTCATTTCTAGGTATCGCGCTGTTCACCATCAGTGTGCTCGAGCCGCCATAAAATGTTTGGCGCCCTTAGAGGTTCCATTTAATGCTTGGAATTAATTTTTGGTGCGAGTGAATGTAAAAATGAAGGCAGATGCGATTATTGTTTGTACGTTCGCAACAGTAATAATGTCCGTACGCTTTCGAGATTCCCGAGCTGTGCATATGCCCCTCAAAGGAACTTACCCGGGCGACTAATGCGTTTACATTCGCAGGGTAGTTGTAGATGTCCTCAACTCTTGAATCCAAAGAAATGTATTGTCAGAGTGGTTGAAATCTTAAAATAGTGACATAGCTTAACCGCTGTCTTTCAAAACTCTGGATCTACATGTGACTGTGATGTCTCGATTACCTGTTTATTTTGGTGCCATGTAGTTCTCTTAACCTCTCTGTCAATTTCCTATATGTCACCCTTTTAAATGTTAATCATCAGAGGCCCTATGTCGAAATAATTTGAACTACCTCACTGTGTTATGGAAACCTAAGCCAAGGGCTGTCAATACTACATGCTAAATCACGCAGGACACCTTTAGTTTCTGTGCCCTAGTAGCTGATTCTTTTTTGGTTTAGTCAAAATGCCTGCTATTTATTGTTTTCTGTGCCTTCCCGAACTTTGTGCCACCGAAGAAACGACAGTATTCTCCCATTTCCAAAAATAAGCATAAATCTGTACGGGTTTTTGCTAAACATACTTAGCTCAAGGAATGTCTGCTCTAGTTATCCTGTACTTTTAGTCTGCATAAACCGCATCGACACTCTGAACGTCCTTCGAGTGCCGTGTCTTTGCCCTTTAACTAATCGATTTTATCCTAACGGCGTTCTTCCAAGCCATAGCAGATATCAAATCACCAGCCATGATTTTCATGTCTCCCCCAAGAAAAAGGGATAACTACCGACTAGCGTTAAAAAGGCTCGCGTTTTAAACGTTGGATATTTGTTGGTTGGATGGAACGCATATTTGTTTTAGAGACGAAAGGTGTCAAAATAATTCAGTCGGACGGGAAAGAAATAGGGAAAATATTCTGCATTCTAACCTTTCTTCCTCGCAATCCATGCGCATGTTTGGCTTGGACAGGAGTAACTCGTGCCAACTGTCCTTTCTTGATTCAGTTATGGTTCACAACCATCCCTTCGCTTCATGGGGCAACTTTGCGGCACATACCACAAACACAGCAGTAGCGCCGGCCACTACTGCCACGACGACCTGCCCTTCCTCGTCCTCATCCTCTTCGTCTGCCCCCTCCGCTGTATTTCCGTCGCAGGTGCAGTCAGTCAATGCTGCGTCTGCTGCAGCGACGACAATGCGTTCCCCCCTCTCTGCTGTTGGCATCCAACAAGTTGCTGCGCCTGCCGACTCCATCGCGGCCTCTCAACAGCAACAACAGCTCCACTACCAGCACCAACTACAGCTTCACCACCAGCAGTTGCAATTGCAGCACCAGCAGCATCTGGCTCGGCAGCAACAGCAATTGCATGCCCAACTACAGAGTCAGTCCCAACAGCAAACACTGCAACCAGGGGTGGCGGGTGAAACTGCATCCGTATCTAAACAGGAGTCCTCCCTTCCCAATGCCTCTGTCGAGGCGAAACCGTCTTTTACTCAGCCGATGACTGCCACTACCACTCCGTCCTCAACTATACCTTCTGGCATCCCTTCCTCTGCACCTTCCGCCACCTCAATGCCTCTGCAAAATGGTATTTCTACGGTTACTTCGGCGTCGACGGCTGTGAATAAGGTAGATAACTCGTCAATGGGAATGCTCAGCCTTCTGCCTCAGATCCCCGAGGGCCTTCTACTGAAGCTCGACCCCTCTCTGGTCGACTCCAGTCAACAAACCGGTATAACAGACATCTCCGAGGTCAAACCTTACCAATGCGACCAATGTCTGAAACGCTATTCTGGAATAAAGTCGCTGAAGAACCACAAACTAACTCACTCCGATATTAAACCCCACAAATGCTCTTTCTGCAGCAAGGCCTTTCTGCGTGCAGACAAAATGCGCATGCACGAGATTTCCCACCTAAATGTGAAACCCTTTGAATGTGCCACGTGCAAGCAGCGGTTTACGCGGTCCGACAAACTGAAAATCCATCACCGAACTCACACAGGTGTTCGGCCCTATGCTTGCACTTTTTGTCCGAAGCGTTTCACCCGATCAGACAAGTTGAAAATCCACGAACGCATCCATACTAAAATCAAGCCGTATGAATGTGGTCACTGTGGGAAGTGTTTTGCTCGTTCTGACAAGCGTCGCCTCCATGAACGCACTCATATATACGGTCCCCGTCCGAGGACAAACGGTTGTCGTAAGTCTAAGTCGGCAGCTGCCGCGGCTAATGCGGCCGCATCCTCCGCTGCCCTTGGTGCCACCTCTGCGCTAGTGGATAGTCTGCCTGTCTCGGGACTTGGCTTCCTCACTGCTGTCTCCTCCGCAGCCTCTTGTCTCGATTTGAAGGATGTTTACAAAAATTCTGCCTCCACTCTGCTGGCGGGAATGAGCCAAAACTTCCAGCTCCGGCCGACGACAATCGTGGCCCTCAGCGCGGCTGCCGCTGTGAATGGCGAGACTGCAAGTGGAAATTTGGGCACCACTGTAACCTCAAGCGTGGTTGGCAGTGGGACTTCCACCACCGTCGAATCCAAACCCTCCTTCCCTGCCGGTACTGCGGCTGCTGCATCTCTCGTCTCCTACGCCCACGGCCAGGCCGCTGCTGCAACAAATCTGCCCTTTGCCATGCCGCACAACTTGCCTACCATTGCTATGCAACAACAGCAAGCAGCTGCAGCGGCGGCGGCAGCAGGCCAGCCAACTGCCGCTACCGGTGGACTCTTAGCCCCCGCGCAATACCAACACTGTATGCCCACCATGTTCATGACCACCCCCAATTCCGCCGGTGCAGCCTCCCTCTTCTCCGCCGCCGTCAATGCTGCTGCGGCGGCCGCAGTAGTTACAAATGCCAGTCGTGTGCCTCAGGTCGCGGCTGCTGCAACCACGTCGTCCGCCGCCGTCTCCGCGCCTGCCCCGCAGATGTTGACGCCCTCCCAGGCGTCCTCTGCGACCTCATCTACATCTACGGTCTCCACTGCGCCGAACACCTTCTCCAGTACTTCCAACAACATTGCCGCAGTGATGGCAGCTGCTGCGTTGGGTCGACAATTTCACCAGCATCAGTACCCCCTTGCGATGCATCCTCAACACCAGGCCTTTGTCCAGACGTCCTACCAACCGCAGCAACAGCAAACACAGCACCAGCTGGCTGCCGCCGCGGCGGTGCAGCAGCAACAGCAGCAGCACCAACAACAGCAAACACAGTTGCAGCAGCAGCAACAGCAGTTTCAACAGCTGCGGCAGCAGCAACTTCAACAGCAGCAGCACCCATTCCAACACCATTTCCATACTGCCGCCAGTGGTCAACAACTGCAACAGCAACAGCAGCAACATCATATGCTGCACCAGCATCAGATGATGCAACTTCAGCAGCAGCTTCCCTACCACCAGCATCAGCAACTCATGCAGCAACACGCGGCCATGTTACAGGCTCAACAGGCGCACATCCGAGCTCAACAAACCCAACAGCAACAGGCAGCCGCGGTCGCGGCAGTCCAGCAGCAGCAGCAACAACAACAACAGAATCCAGTATTCAATCAGAGCGCAGCAGCTGCGGCAGCAGTCGCCAGCATGGGATTCTTTCCGAGCCGGGTGAACGCGCAACAAGGCGGCAGTGCTGGTGGGAGCACCGCCACAGCGAATCCTTCTCAGTTCTCATTTGCTAGTCTCGCGGGTCAGCAGCCTCAAGCGACGTCCACAGCGAGTCAGCAAGAACAGCAGCAGCAGCAGCAACTTCTTGCGGCCCAGCAACAGTATATGCAGCAGCAACAACAGCAACACTATGCTGCCGCCGCTGCAGCCCAGATGGCGCGATCTCAACAAGCGGCTGTAGGCGGGAGTAGTACCGCGGGAATGGGCTCATTGACCCACTCTGCTTCCTCACAAGCTACTGCGGCTACGCCACAGTCGCCTACGCGGGGCGCACCGGTCCCATCATCGGCACAATCATCGTCATCTTCATGTACAATTAAACCTTAGTATCTCCTTCTGTTGATGCATTTCTCTTTTGCCCCGTCTCCACCGCTGCATTTCTCTCCAGCGGGTGTTGTAAGCCCTGCCCCTCCCATGACACCAGGCCACCGCGCGCACACACACACTGTATCTATACCTGTCCCTCTCCTCTACCTCATCCAGTCCCCCACTCTGACTCCTCGGTCGCGTTGATGGTCGGTACGCGACCAGTGTGTACAGCATTTAGGTGTGCTTCTTCTGACTGCGACATCCCCTCTGACGGTGACTAGTACCTTTGACGGTTCCCTTGTTTTGGCCCGCCGCACTCCGTATTCTTGCCATTCATATTTAGTTGTATTCGCCACCTCTTTTGTACATGTAACTCTCTCATACTTTACCTTTCTTTTCCTATTTTACTACTGCCGACACACTTCTCTGAGGTTTAAGATGTACAGCAGTTGACCCTAAATCCGACTCTCCTCATCCTCTTACTCGAATCACGCAGTGTCTAGATCCCATGTATATTTGTGCATATTTTTCCACCAGCACCCAAACCAATGCGCCTGCTTGTGTGTCCCCCGCATCCATCTTCCAGCAGACTGCGTTTTGTCGCTGCCCACCCCCCTCCCCTTTCCCATGCTTTTAACAATGAAACCGAGTAAGGCTTTGAAGAAACGAAATTGTGCAATCACACCCCTGCCCCCTCCGCTGCCCTCTCACCGGTGTTGCCACCGTGACAACCACACGCAATTCGTGCGACCTTAGCTCTTCTTCCCAGTTCGTGCTCGTACAGGAGCCAGTGTGTGTGTGTGCGTGTATCTGCTTTCACCGGTGTCCGGCCAACTTGACGGTTACCAGCACTGGCTATGCCTCTGCCCCAAAACTTAGAGTGTTTGTGTGCGCGTGTGTGTTGCCAATCACTCAAAAGTTGTAATTTTTACGAAATTAACTTTGTCCAGATTGTGTACAGAAATATATTATATACATGCTTTTATGGCGACTACAATAATGACTACAATTATTACTATAATCTTTTTGTTCCTTTTTGTTTGTGTAAAATTCGCATTCGACGATACTATAGCCATTTTGCCCTTCTTTCTAACAAACATGCCTCCTTTTCTTCTCACCTTTCCTTATTTTGATTTGTGGGAAGGGGTAGAGGACGAGCAGTGATGACCGCCTCATCGTTGCGCATGAGTATGGTGTCCGCGATTCACCTCAAGCTGTCACAGACAACTACCGAAAAGGCAGCGAAACAACCGGCGAACGTATTTCTTGTGTATCGTTAAGTATCGCGCCTCGTCCTTTTTGATACTACCGGTCGGTTCGCGTTGTACGATCGCCTCTGAGGATCCAGATCTCACTTTCATGTGCCTCAGAGGACATCGATGCACTTACAGGGGCGTAGTGGAATTCAGAAAACGCGGGGTCGTCAGAGAGCATGGCACCTGGCTACGAATGAAGACGAATGTTCGAGCTGTAGGTGTATGTGTGAGTTAGGAAGGAGACCGACCGAACAATGGAACCATTTGTTATTTTCCTGAGTTTTCGGACCCGTGCAGGACTTAATCGTCAAAGATAAATGCAGCAACAGGACAAACGACAGTTATAGGGGGTGTTAGTCAACCAACGGCCAGTGCCACCGGTCTGAAAGCGACTGCGCAATTATTCTGAAGGCTGCGGAGTCGGATTCGTGACCTGATACAACGGGATGGGCAGCAATTTGCAGTAATTCGTCGCCCAGTCGCACGTCCAGCTAGTGCTCGTGTGTACATTATCCGAACGTGCGTTGAGCCTGACATCTGCTTCACGGAGTCGTCATTCGAGGCTAGAGGTCGAGCCAGTTCTCGACATGCCTTGTTTCCCGCATAGCCGATTTTCTTGACTGCGAAGTTGAACTCATGACCCGTTTCGTAGGTGTGACAGCTACTCGCGGTAACTTGTCGCACAGTCAGTTTGTGTTCGTGTATGCGCGATCGGAGTATGCCTCCAGTCCGACTTATGCCGTTGCAAAGACAGTTTAAGCACGGGATGCGGTACATTGCCTCAGGCTGCTTCTCGCGACCCTGCTATTCACAGCAGTCTTAGGCCGATGTGAAATCCTAACACCTAGTTCCTCACCAATGCACTCCGATGCCTCTGAGGCGTCGTTAGTGTGACAGAGCATGCCACACCCTTGATCTTGCTGTTTGGGTCCTACGGGACGAACCCGTAGACAGCGGCTTAAAAACACCGGATAGCCATTCCGCATAAATTGATTGCGGAGATATCGGTCCTCGCGTAATTTTTATTCCGAGTTGCTGCAGTATGAATCCGCCTGAAAAACATTCTCGCACAGCTTCTTATGAGTTACCGGGTGGTTGCCCTGAAAGTAGCGAAGTGTTCATTGTCCCTGCAAACTGTCGTCTCCATTTCGCCGCTAGAACTTCATTGGGAGTGGCGGTTGCTGCTTCGTGAATTGTACTCCTGAGGAGATTACCTTGAGCAGATTGTGGGAATTCTGCAGCATGTTCTTCCTGACGATAACGGAAATGTCAAGGTAACGACGCCAAAAGCTCGGCTAATGCTATGTAAAGGCAGTCTTTCCTACCTGTAGGACCCGTTCTGCCACCCAACTGAAGACTGCAGGGCCCACTGGAGTTTCCCTGATTTGCACATAAGTTTCTCTGTCAACGCTGAAGTAAGTTTTTTGGTCAAATTCGAACGTCCCTGCGACATGCTGAATTTTGAGTGGACTCTGAGTCCTGTCGTATGCCAACTAAAGTCTCTTGCGCAAGACTTTACCGAATTCGGTGCAATTGATGTGGATAACGATGTCACGTCAAAATAGACCATGATTTCGTCCGATTGAGTCTTCTGACCTCGGAGTCCTACCAAGAGTTAACAGACTTATCGGACTGAGATAGTCGGGTTGGCGGAAGAGCGCTCACCGATCGTTTTTTTACGGAACTCACTCCTCCTTATGGGCTCTCTCTCGAGCCCAACCAGCAGCCGCACACCGGCGAATGATATAGGCAGGATAGCATCACTGACAAGGACAAGGGAGAGTATGATCATTTCCGGCTTATCCGCCGTCGTCAGCTAGCCACACCCAATCGGTGAGCGCCCCTTTACCATGGTATATTCCCGGTCGCAACCGACAGGACAACTAGCTCGTGACTCAGTGGTTAGAGGCGTCGGACTTCTGACCAAGAGGTCGCGTGATCGAGCTCCAGGTGTTCCACACCCCCGGGTTGGGTGTGACCGGCTGACGACGGCTAATAAACCGGAAGTGTCCATTCCAGTCCCCCATGTAGTTGTTGGTAATGTCATTCTGCCTGTAGTCAGATTGCTTTGTAGGAACTTCGGTTTTGAGTACATCCACTTTGACAAATTACAGGTAGGGCTGCGGTTTAGGGTAACGGTTGTCCGCAGTGGAACATTTAGGATGTAGATCCTTGGCAGACCATAGGATATGGCCGGAGCGGTATCTGTTTAGTCTTGGGTCAGTTCTCCGTCATTTCATTTTATGTCAGAATCATTTAAGTAATTTATTCAACTGGTCCGTCATTGCTTTAGCTTGTGAGTTTTATGCTGATCTGTAAAATTATCCACCATCAAGGAGAGGCTTGGCTTTCCCGTTGCCGTCTTCTCGGTCCGTTACGACAGAAATTCTTCCTTCATCAGCGGGTAGAATGGTAATTTTGTCGTCAATCCGCAGTTCCTTCATAGATTCCGACTCACTCCCCGAAATACATTGAGATGCTCTGTATGTTAGCAGCAAGGAGGTAGCACATCGGACGGAGGGATTCATGTCACGTTTATTTACTGTAAATTCGAGCGATTCATGGGTAGACTTGTGTTGCTATCCTTCTGCATAACTTCCTACTCGAAGTCACCGCGAGTAGCCATGGGTCGTGGAATCACCGATGGCTTCAAGGTTCGCTTCATTTGGCCACCTTCTTGTCATCGCCGGAAAGGACCCAGTTCTGGTGAATCAGTGTTGGCCATCTTACGGTTGGATCAGCGCAGCGGACAGCCCATTGTCTGAGTCAGCGAGAATGTGGAGATCAACCAACTGAGTGCAATGGCATGCGTTGCCGAATAACTCAGTGACGACTTCAGTGAGTGGGACGTAAGCGCCGTCAGTGACGGATATCCGAACTCACACATCATATAGAATGGTTTTCCCGACGGAAGTTTTGTATACTTTCAGCCTCATTGAGCTCGAACCGGTTCCAGACGTTTGAATGGAGTCGAATCAAGCAGTATATGAGATAGGTCCGTTGACCGACTACACCTTTGCCGCTGAGACAACTTTTGAGCAGAGTTGAAGCTTGAATCCCAAAGTAGTCACAATCATCTTGAATAAACTAATTTTGCTTACGCTTTAGCGCCTATCTGGGACAATATGCACATGCATTCGAAGGATTTCCGCCCCAGTAATAGCATCGACTTGGTAAAGTTTGATGTTTTATGCAGTCAGCTAAGGCAGTAAAACCACTTTGGTCTCCTATCGACAGCCTGGGCTCATTCGTTTTCTCCTCAGTTTTGCCATCGCGTCCAGTCGATGGCAGGTCACGCTGTCAAGTATACCCGAGACCGGGATACCTTCAAATTGCGCAGAAGCTCCGATATTGTCGGCCGGTCTTTCTGTCAATGCCCTCTCTGGCCGACGCGACCCCTTGAGTAGCCTAAAGTTGATGCCTCCAAGCTAGTCATCTTAGCTTGAGGACCCCTCATAGTCAACTGCGGTTTGCGCCATTGAAAAAAAAACTAATTGAAGACAAGCAGAAGTCTGTGGCTGTGGCAGGATCTGTAAGACAAAAGAACTCATGTTTTTGCTGGTTGCAGCTTTCCTAAGACATGACGTGGCATTCCAACACAGAAGTATCCCCCCGCGCTTGGGTGGATGTGTGGTTGTAGCTGCAAAGCATTGAGAATGTGTGTAGTCTGAGCGCTACCATAATCAGGGCAAATCCTGGTATTGGAAGGAGAAGACAAATGACACCAGAATGAGGGGTTTAATGTATAAAAAACTCGGAGTT